GCGTCGGCCTGCAGACTGAAAGGTCCCAGGTTCGATACTGGTCAAGGGCATGTACCTTGGTTGCAGGCACATCCCCAGTGGGGGAAGTGCAAGAGGCAGCTGGTTGATGTATCTCTCTCATTGACATTTCTAACTCTCTATCCCTCTTAATTCCTCTCTCTGTGTAAAATCAATAGAATATATATTTTTAAAAATGTTTTTTAAAAATTAAAAATTAAAAATAAAAATGAAACCCTGAATCTTAGTCATGAAAAAGATACAAATTGAAACCACAATACAACTATTATATACCTACTAGAGGCCGGTGCACAGATTCATGCACCGTTGGGGTCCCTCAGCTAGCCTGCAAGGGTCGAGCAGAAACTGGCTCTCCGACATCCCTTGAGGGGTCCCAGATTGCAAGAGGGCTTTTTTTGGGTGATGCACCCTAGAATCGGGATCCCTCCTCTCTGGTTCCCAGGGTGTCACCTGAGAACCGCAGCTGCCAAGTCACCACAGCTTAGCAGCTCCTGCATTAAATGTATGCCCCCTGGTGGTCAGTGCACATCATAGCAACCAGTCAGATGGTTGGAAGGACACTTAGCATATTAGCCTTTTATATAGAGAGAGTAGGATGGGTTTTTTACAAAAAAAACAAACCGACATATCACATATTAGTGAGGATGGGGAGCATTTATAGTTTCTTATAAAGTTAAAAACTCTATAATTCCACTGGTGGTATTTACCCAGGAGAAATTAAGACAGATACTCACTCAAAAAGCCTGTGTACTGCTGATAGTAATTTCATTCATAATCACCCAAAGTTTAAAATAACCCAAATGGCTGAAACTGGTTTGGCTCAGTGGATAGAGCGTTGGCCTGCAGACTGAAAGGTCCCGGGTTCGATTCCGGTCAAAAGCATGTACCTTGGTTGTGAGCACATCCCCAGTAGGGGAAGTGCAAGAGGCAGCTGGTCGATGTATCTCTCTCATTGACATTTCTAACTCTCTATCCCTCTTAATTCCTCTCTCTGTATAAAATCAATAATATATATATATTTTTAAAATATATTTTATTGATTTTTTACAGAGAGGAAGGGAGAGAGATAGAGAGCTAGAAACGCCAATGAGAGAGAAACATTGACCAGCTGCCTCCTGCACACCTCCTACCGGGGATGTGCCAGCAACTAAGGTACATGCCCTTGACCGGAATCGAACCTGGGACCTTTCAGTCCACAGGCCAACGCTCTATCCACTGAGCCACACCGGTCAGGGGGAGAATGTAGAATCTTGATTGTCAGGTGAACGCACAGTCTCGGTACTGTGGCTACTTCCCCACCACACGTGGCGTAGAGCCATGAACACGGTTATAGAGGAAGCAGCCCCTGATTCAGCTGAGATGGCCTTTGCCTGCTCCAGGCCCGTTGGGGCCTCACAGGGGGACTAGGATGGCCGGGAGCGGGGTTAACCCGGCACAGCTGGGAGCTGGAATCATCTGGAGGCTTCTTCACTCACACCTCGGGCACCTGGCATGCGGGGAGGGCGTGAAGGCGGGCTCAGCGGGGACTGAGTCTGGAATTGTCAGCGTGGGACCCAGTGCGCGGCCTGGGCGTCACACAGCAAGGCCCCGGGTTCTGAGAGTGAGTCCCAAAGGGTGCAAACCAGAAAAGGTACCTGAGCCCCAGCCAGTGTGGCTCAGTGGGTTGGGTGTAGTCCTATGCACTGAAAGGTCACTGGTTCGATTCCTGGTCAGGGCACATACCCGGTTTGCAGCAACCCATCATCAATGTTTCTCCCTCTCTCTGTCTCTCCCTTTCTCCCTCTCTCTCTATCTCTCCCTCCTCCATCTCTCTATCTCTCTCTTCCTTCCTCTCTCTCTCTCTATCTTCCTTCCTCCCTCTCTCTCTCTCTCCCTTCCTCCCTCTCTCTCTCTCTCTCTCCCTTCCTCCCTCTCTAAAATCAATAAACATGTCCTCAGGAAACATACTCTCGTATCCTCGGGTGAGGATCTGTAAAATGTAAAGAAAACAAACTGCCACTTTGTGGGTGATTCTCTTCTCCACACGTTGTCCCTCTCCCAAACCCGGTCCTCTCTCTCCCGACCTTCGTCTATAAGCCTCGTGTCAGTAAACGGCACTTCCCCCAAATCAGTGTCACCCTTGACGCCTCTCCTGTGTCACCCCAAGGCCAGTCCATCACTGCGTCCTGGTGTTATTCTCCACTGACCCTGGCCAGGCATGTGCAGGAGGCCACCACATCGATGTTTCTCTCTGCCTTCCCCTCTCTCCGAAAAAATATCCTCAATGAGGATTTTAAAAAGAGTAAGGTGAGGCCGCAGGGGCACACTCGGCTATGCTCCCTAAATGACAGGCCTGGCAGGCTTAACTGCAGGGATTCAAGGTAAACACATGGAAGCACTTCCCGCCCCCTGGGACTGGGAGAATCTTCTCCGGACAGACTCAGATGGCTGATGCGGGAGGGGGCGCCAGATGACCTCACTCCTTCAACTATATCCAGCGCCTCCCCCTGCCAGGCACTGACCTCAGACTGGTGGGTGGACAGGCGGGACAGATGGGGCAAGAGCATTCAGTGCAGCCGGTGCCCAGCACGGGAATGTCTGGGGACAGCTAGGCCTGCAGGGGAGGGGGCACCCGGGGAAGGGGTCCCGATGCCACTGGATCCCTTGACATCAATCCAAGATGAGCGGGAAGGGAGCGGAGGGGAGGTGGCAGAGGCCCAGAGGCTCTGGCTGGGGACTGGGAGTGACCGAGACCCTCCACGTCAGCACAGCACCGGGGGCGCCGTCATTTCCGGTGGGCTGGGCTGGGGGTTGGTCGTGCCAGCAGAGGGTCACGTCAGAGTCCCCAGCGCACCCCACCGGGAGGGCGTTTGCCTCGTTGCAGTTGCATCGAGCTCCGAGCTCCCCCGGGTCCCTATCTGGGCTCTAGTCCCGCCTCTAGGACCTGGGAGCTCCTTCGATGGGGCCTGGGGAAGCGCCCCCGGGCCCCGGAGTGTGAAACCGGCCGCAGGGGAGTCACAGAGCCCAAGGCTTGGGGGAGGTTGAGTCGGTCACAGGTCACCGTGGCCTCTGGACGCTCCTGACAAGGAAATAGCCTGTGTGACCCACAGATGAGGCACCGGCTCTGGGGCTCCCACAATCAGCTGATTTGTAAGTCCCAGCCATGGGGGTCTAGACTCCGCTGAGAGGAAAAGGCCTGCCATGAATCCCAGGGCTTTTTGGCCAGGAGCTCAGGAAGACAAAGGAATTTCTTGCTGCAAAGACACATCTCGTTTTCCTCTTCCTGCCACAGTTTAGGAAATAGGATTACATCTGCCGGGAAGGCACAGGAGTGATCCCACTGGCCAAGGAGCCGGGGTTCTGAGGAACCGGATTTGGCAAAGGGCCCGGCACAGGCCTGGTACACAGCAGGAACCCCACCCCCCGGCATCCACAGCTCTCTGAGACACCTGGGCCTCCATCCTCCATCCTCTGTCCCCTTGGGAAGCTGTCAGGGAGGCTCCACAAACCTGGCTGAGCTGGTTGCTCAGCTTCAGCCCATCCCCACCCACCCCAGCCTCATGGGACTGAGAGGGGTCCAGCCTGAGTCCAAGGAGAATCCAGCCTTGGTGACATATGGCCCCCACCAGGCACTGCTCCTGGGACTGGGGCGCAGGGAGGGTGGCTGGATATAATCAGGGTATTTCAACAGTAGTGCCAGCATATAGTGGGTCCTAATAAAAATGAGTTAGATGGCACTGGTTGGTTAGCTCAGTGATTAGAGCATCGGCGAGCACTGAAGGGTTGCAGGCTTAATTCTGGTCAGGGGCATGTACCTCCGTTGCAGGCTCGATCCCCATCCCAACCAATCGATGTGTCTCTCTCACATTGATGTTTCTCTCTCTCTGTCTTTCCCTTTCCCTTCCCCTATGTCCAAAAATCAATGGAAGAAATATCCTCAGGTGAGGATTAAGAGGGGGAAAAAATGAGCTAGATGAATGCTGGAGTTTGAAAACTCCTTTAAGGAAAGAATAATTGGGTAGGTGAAAGTTTTTTATTTTAATGGGTATCATTGGATATAGGCTATGGAACCCAGGGAGAGGGCAATGGAACCTTCAAGAGGAAGGCCCAGAATGCACATAACACACCCTCAAACCTGCCTCCTCTGGCCTGAGGTTTCTAGCCACAGGCATTTAAACATTCAACTCCTAACAGGTACTGTAATTGTCAGTGAACACTCATTCATGGTGTCAGTAAGCCAGGCTGTTCTGGGCACTGCGCAGCCAGCTGTGAACGAAAGCTAAGTTCCTTGCTGCTGCCAGGTGATCCAGAGCTAGAGAAACACAACAGGTAAATAAAATAAAATAATTTCAGACAGTGAGACCTAGCAGTAAACCGAAGGAGCCCAGCCTGGAGGGAAAGGGGCGGATTGACAGCCAAACCAGAGCACCAGGGAGGCCCCGCCCCAGCCCCGCCTCTACCTTTGCATACGCCTTCCGATTGGCCGGCGGCGGCAGGCCCCGCCCCACGGAGCGGGCGGTTGGGGAAGCTCCGGGCGGTTGGGGAGACGCCGGGCAGACCCGGCCGGGATGCGGCCGCTGCTGCGGGGGTCGCTGGGCGCGCCGGGGGCTCCGCGGGCGGGAGGCGGGCCGGGGGCGGCCGCCGCGGCGCCGGCGCTGTCCTAGCTCCCAGCCCGGCTGCGGGGCCGGCCTCCCTGTGGCCTAAGCGCCCGCGTCCCCTCCCCTCTACCCTTTGTGCCGCCGCCGCCGCTCGGAGGTCCCGGCCCCGCAGGACCCCGCCGGGCCCGCCCGGTCGCCGCGGCGCATCGGCCCGCCGTGGGCGCCGGGGCAGCGGCCGATGGCGGAGGGGCGCGGCGCGGGCGGGGCCGCCGCAGCCGGAGTCCGCGCCGCGGGAGCCCGGGCCCGCCGCCGCCGCCGCCGCCGCATTGTCCCGGGCCCCGCGCCGCGGCCCTGAGCGCCGCCGCCGCCGCGCCCGCCCGCCCGCCGCCCGCCGCCCCTCGGGGCATGCGGAGGGCCGGCGGCATGGAGGACTTCTCGGCCGAGGACGAGGAGCCCTGGTACGACCAGCAGGACCTGGAGCAGGGTGAGCGAGCCCGGAGCGGGGGCCGGAGAGCGAGGGGCGCCCGACCTCTGTCCGCTGCCCCATTGTTGGGCGGCGTCACCCCCGGGAGCGCTGAGCGGCGCCCCGCGGCCGGACTCCCGTGGGCGCTGCGTGTGCAGGACGCGGACGTGGACGGGAGGGGCGCGCTGCCCGCGGGGCCCGGCCCGGCCCGGGGAGACCTGCCAAAGTGGGGGGAACAGCCTTCCTCCTCCCCGAAGGACAGGGCACACTGCGCCCCGCTCGCCACCCCAGCTGGGAGGCAGGCTCTGCCCAGGGTCCCCTGGTTTCCCGGCTGGAATTCTTTGGAGGCCGGGACGTGGCTCCTCGGGTGTTTTGCTGGGAAGCGGGGGGAGCGTGTGGGGGGAGGAGGGGAATGATCTTATCCCAAACCCAGCGACACCCTTTTTCCCCTGCCAGGATTCCTGAGCCTCTAAGACTCCCGGAAAGTTTCCCCGACTCCCTTCCCCTCTACCCAGCCAGGGGAGAGGTGAAGATTTGGGGTCCCCTGGCCCTCCCCCAAAAAACCCGCCCCCACCCCCCAACTGCTCATGGTTTGGGGGTCAGGTTTGGCAATTCAGAGCAAGAGGCCAGATTAGAGGCAGCCCCCTCCCCCCTCCCTCTGGGAGCAGCGAGGGCCCCTGGAACTGGGTTAGAAGCTGGTGATGAGGTGGCCGAAGTGACATCACTAAGAGCAGGGGCCGGGCTGTTAGGACCGGAAGGAGGAGTAGGCCTGAGGGTCAGAGCCAAGGCCTGCTGGGCTGGAGTCACATCCACCCTCTCCCCACAAGAGCACCTCCTTCCTGGAGGCCAGGGCTGGAGGCATGTCCAGGAGAGGTGACCACAGCCCCGGGTGGGCAGGTGTGCACACAAGTCTGATTGAGTGTGCACACACATACACACACACACACACACACACACACATGCTCTGGGGCCCCACCCACGGCCCCCAGGCCTGGCTTTTATCTCAGGGAAATACCTACCCAGATCCTAGAGCCTTTGTTACTGGCCCTGACCCACATCCTCACGTGGCCAGATCTGCGGTAATGAGGCTCATCCTGAGCTCGGGAATGTGGGGTAATCAGCCTCTGAGGACTGGGCGTGCTGGGCTGCCTCTGCCGTACTCTCTGCCCCAGAGCCTACCCGCGGCTCCCCTGCCTGGAGGGAGAGGCCCAATACTGGCTGAGACAACCCCTTCCCAACCCTGGCACTATTCTTGCCTCCCTTACGGGTCAGACACTGGGCTAGCCCCCGCCCCGCCCACTGAGTGGCCAGGTGGAGCCGGGCTTGTGATTGGGTGCGGGTGACGGGATGCAGTGAGAGGGCTTCATGGAAGAGGCGGCCTGGGAGGAAAGGCTGGAAAATGGCCTCCCCTCCCGGGAGGCAGATGCTGACATGACTGCTGCCTCATGTCTTTCCTGCTCCTTACGGAGTCTGGCGCCATGCCCGGCCAGCTGTGGGGGGAGGAGCAGGGAGTGAGGGGGGGAGACCTGCTGCTCCCAGAGGGAGGAGTCCAGCTCCCACTGGGCTGGGTGCCCGCTCTGGGCCAGGGTGGGGGGTGGCCTCTGCAGCCAGCCGCCCCTCCTGGCCTCAGCAGGGTAACCAGAGCCCTGGAACCAGGGCCAAGACCACTGAGTGCTGAGCCTGGGGGGTGACCTCTGCCCTCGGGGACTCCACATTCCCGCAGAGGAGGCAGAGGAGATCGTGGTAGCCGGTGGTAGCCGGTAGCCGCAGGGGCGCAGTGGCAGGCAGGTTCGAAGATTCGCACCCAGGCCCTCTGAGCGGAGGGGGAAGGTGCTCCCGGGCCGAGGGAGGAGGCAGGCATTGGAGGTGTAGGGGACGCCGCACAGGCATGGACAACGTGGAAAGATCATGCGCGATGGGAAGCAAGGCTCAGGGAGCTGGGTGGGGTTGGAGGAAGTCCCAGCACGAGTACTGGGGCACCCCCCCCCTGGGGCCAGCCTGGGGAGCTGGAGGGCGGCATGAGTATTGGCCCAAAGCCGGCCCCATTGGGGATCGGATGCCTGTTGCGCCCCCTTCTCTACACCCAATCCCCCAGCGCTCTGCCCAGCTGCTCCCTGGGTGCCCCTCAGTGCTCGGGAAGTGTTTGCCCGGCCGCCTCAGGGCAGGCCCCAGCCTCTCCCGGGAGCTGTCTGACTGTGCTGCTGTTGTGTCCCATTAGCCTGGTCCCTGGCTCCCCTGCCCCCTGCCCCCTGCGGGCACCGTAAAAATAGAAAGCGCCATGAATTAGTAAGCACAGACACTCCTCCCCATCGCAGATCTGTGGGTGCCTCTTTCCACTGAGACAGGGCTGCTGAGTCACACATTTGAAGTCCTGGGTGCCTGACCTTGAGAGTCAGCCTCTAGCGAGGGCTCCGGTGTGGCAGTGAGATTGGGTGCCCGGGCCCAATTCTGTGGACACAGTTCTTGACGTTCAGGCCCCGCAGGCTGTCAGCGGGACACCCGCAGCCCTGCCAGGTGGTAAATGGCCTCCTCCCCGGCCCCCCTTGTCTTAGTCTCTCCTCCCTGTGCCTGTCCCATCCCTTTCCTGCCTCCCTGCTCCAGAGTCCGTGGGGCCCACCAGACGCCAATCAGTGGGCGCAGTGGGATTTCAGCATTTCTTTTCAAAGATGTCCCTGTCTCCTGGCCGTGACCTCGCAGGCTTCTGGGGCTTTGCGCCTGGGCAGCACCTCAGCTGGTCCGGGGGGGGGGGGGCAGCCGCTGCAGGAGCCCCAGAGCCCAGGTCCAGCGGACGTGCAGGAGGCTGCACCTTCCCTGGCGTGGTCCGGTGCTCTGGTTGTGGCCGCTGTTCATTCCTCGGGCTTCTGGCTTAGCCAGCTCCCCGATTCTCCCACTCCCAGGCCTCCCTCCCTGGAGCCCTCTGTTAGCCGTTGCCCTCTCCCGACACTGGCTCCCCTCAGCCCCTGGCCGTGCCCCTTCTAGACCTTTCTCCAGATCCCCCCTGGCAGCTTGGACCAGCTGAGCTTGCATTGTGATCCAGTTTTCCTGTGATTGGCCCTGAGGCTCTCCCCACCCCCAAGAGCTCCCATTGTTCCCTTCTTCCCGGTTCCTGAGTCACCAGGGGGCCCAGGTCACAGTCGCTGCTCCCAGGGCCTGTCCTGGTCTGTAGTGTGGCTTCAGCCGCTGCAGGAACGCACGCAGCGCCGATGCTCACCGGGAAGACGGGCAGAGGGCAGAGGGCAGGACCATCCCTCCCTCCCTGGTCCACGCAGGCCACCCACGGAGCCTGGCCCCTCGCACCCGCGCAGGCGACGCCATAGCAATGGCCTCTTTCCAGGCTGCCAGCATCCCCAGGGGAGGAGGTGCTGAGTGTGGCCCTCGGGGTGGTCTTGCTGGGCCCCCCGACTTTCCACCGGGCACCCAGCACGCAGGGCTGCAGTGTACAGACTCACATCCAGCCCCTCCCTCTGGACCCGCCCAGCTCACAGCGGGCACATTCCTCCCATCGTGTCTCACTCCCCTGCCAGGTAGCTGTGTTTCCTGGCATCACCGTCAGCAGGTTAATGAGCTGCTCACGGCTAATGGTTTCTAGCTGAGATGTGTGAGCTGAGGTTTTGTCGGAGGCGGGAAGGTGCTGAGGAGAGCGGCTTGTCTGTCAGGCTGAGCCATGGTCATTGGGCCTTGCTCCAGGGTCGCGGCTTTGCACCCTCAACCAGGGCCTCCTCTGGTGACATCTGGGCACAGCCCCCGCCCCCTCACCTGGCCCCGGTCCAGCTGCACGCTGCCCGTGTTAAAGCTGTTTTGGAATCTCACCTGTGTGTGTCTCTGTGGGAACAGGCTCCAGGTTTGTTCCGAATGGACGGCTAGGACTTTGGTCCAGGCCTGGTGGCCGGTCAGAGTCCCCTCTGGCTTTCTAAGCTGAGGCCAGTCCTCCCCCCGCTGGCTGGAAGCCAGCCCGGGCTCCGCTCTCAGCCCACCTGGAGTCACTGCTCCGGGGCTCCCCGAGAGGAGCCCCCCGCTGAACCCTCTGTGTCTCTGGAACTTGCCAGGAGGGAGTACAGAGGCCTCCATCCTCCAGGGGCCCTAGAACCACCAGTCCTTCTGGAAAGGGAACATGGTGCCCAGCTCAGTCCCTGGCCCGCAGCCTGGGCCCCGTCAGAGCTTCCTTCACGCCTCTGGGTCGGGATTCAGACCATTGGCCTCAACTGAGGCCTCATCGTGGGACAAGGATCCAGCTTTCCTGGGTGGCGTTTTGGCAGAAGAGATCAAATAGGCCCCTCTTCTCCCCGCCACACCGCCCCCCAAAACCAGGCCAGGTCCCCTCCCAGCCCTGACAGGTGTCCATGTCCCTCTGGCTGGGAGGGGAGAGGAGGTTCAGTCCTCCAGACACGAGCTCAGGGTGAGGGGGGAGAGGACGGCTCGTTTCCCCGGGAGAGCAGGGTCCAGAGAGGACGTGTCACTAGGACCACATGCTACCGACTGGGACCAGGAGGCCTGGATTCTGCTTTCAACGTGGCTCCCACCCCGCTGGGGGCCTGGGCAAGTCACCCTTCCCACTGGCCGCCATCCAGAGGAGGAGGACGTTAGCAAAGAGCTGTGAAGCTCATCCAAACTCTAAAACGCAGCGAGCCCCCCCTCCCTGCCCTGCCACCTCTCAGTCCCCTCCCAGCCCAACGCCAGGGCTGCCCAGTGCCAGCCGCCCGCCGGCCCGGGAAAACGCTCTCCCTTATTATCGTCCAAGTCACTTGCCCCTGGGTCTCCTCACACTCCTCACTCTCTCGAGCAAGATCCATACACCTGCCCGGTGCCAGGCACTGACCTAGGTCCCGGGATATCCGTGAGGTAACAGGCTAGCCCCCCGCCCTGTGAGCGATAGGTGAGGGAGAAGCTGTGGGTGCTGTGGTGACCCTGCTAAGGAGAAGCAGCTAAGTGGGGAGGGTGCGGGACAGGGCGGTGCATTAAAGCCAATAGTTGGGAGAAGTCTCCTGGAGAAAGGGTCATGAAGCACGGACTTGAAGGCAGACAGGGATGAGCCCGGGGAGGGGGGGGGGTATTCCAGGCAGAAGCAACAGCCAGTGCAAAGCTTCGCTCCTGGCCTGCATCCCCTCCCGAGTGGGGGCTCCCCATCAGCCCCTGTGTCCTTGCTCGCCTTGGGGTCCCCGAGGCCCAGCTCAGAATGAATGCTCAGACCGTGAGGGGGTCCTCTGGCTTCTTTCTCACACTCCTCGTCGCTTCTCCCACCCCTCGCCCCTCCCTCCAGACTTGCACTTGGCCGCTGAGCTGGGGAAGACGCTGCTGGAGAGGAACAAGGAGCTGGAGGCGTCTCTGCAGCACATGTACGCCACCAACGAGGAGCAGGTGCAGGAGATCGAGGTGAGCGGGCCGCCCGCTCCCACCGTCTTCACCCGCAAAGCAAACCTGTTCCTAGAAGTGGGAGGAGGGCCCAGGCACACAGTTTCCGAACCCCGTTCTGAAAGGCTACTCCCCCACCACCCCTGCCGACCCCCAGTACCTGACCAAACAGCTGGACACGCTGCGGCACGTGAACGAGCAGCACGCCAAAGTGTACGAGCAGCTGGACCTGGCGGCCCGCGACCTGGAGCTGACCAACCAGAAGCTGGTGCTGGAGAGCAGGGCTGCGCAGCAGAAGATCCACGGGTGAGGCCGGGGGAGGGTGGGTGCGGGTGTGAGGGGTGCGAGGGGAGGCCCAGGGCTGGGAGTGCTGTGGGCACAGGGCGCAGGGATGTGACAGCTGCTCCTTCTCCAGAAGCCCAGGCTGGGGACCTGGGAGGGTGGTGAGTTTGCCTGACAGTCCCTCCCCTGCGTACCCCCCCGCCCCAGGCTGACGGAGACCATCGAGCGCCTGCAGGCCCAGGTGGAGGAGCTGCAGGCCCAGGTGGAGCAGCTTCGGGGCCTGGAGCAGCTGAGAGTGCGCCGGGAGAAGCGGGAGCGCAGGCGCACCATCCACACCTTCCCCTGCCTCAAGGAGCTGTGCACCAGCAGCCCCGGGTAGGTGTCTGAGGGCCAGGACGCCGTTAGGGAGAGCAAGGAGAGGGTGGGCTGGTTTACCGTCCGTGCTGATGGTGAGACTGGTCCCGTGGCTGACAAGAGCCCAGCCAGGAGCCCAGGACTTTGCTAAGCAGCTTAACAGTCACGGCAGTGCCGTGAGGTGTTTTCATCTCCGCCACTCCGATGAGGACGTTGAACCCGGAGGTAGGTGTCTCTCCCAGGTCGCCCGTTAGTAAGCAGGAGGGGTTCCCACGGCACCTCAGTGCCCTCCACCCTCACGGAGACGACCTCTGAATCGTGGGCATCTGGTGGGCGTTCCAGTGCGGGTGCTGCCAAAGACGGTGCCTCTCAGTGATTGAGGGGCGCCTGCTGAAGGTGTGGGCGAGGCACAGGAGCTCGGGAGGGGCGACACTGCAGGCCTGGGGTGGTCATAGCTCCGTGGACCAGAAAGATGGAAGTGTCCGGGGCTGGGCTCCCGGCCTTGCCCATGACCAAAGCCCCCGCCTCCCACCCCCTCTCCCAGGTGCAACAATGATGCCTTCCGCCTGCACAGCTCCTCGCTGGAGCTGGGCCCCCGGCCGCTGGAGCAGGAGAACGAGAACCTGCAGACGCTGGTGGGGGTGCTGCGCTCCCAGGTGAGCCAGGAGCGGCAGCGCAAGGAGCGGGCGGAGCGGGAGTTCGCCTCGGTGCTGCAGGAGTACGCGGAGCTGGAGCAGCAGCTGGGCGAGATGGAGGGCTGCCGCCTGCGCGTGCAGGAGCTGGAGGCCGAGCTGCTGGAGCTGCAGCAGATGAAGCAGGCCAAGACCTACCTGCTGGGCCGGGAGGACCACCTGGCCGAGGCCCTGCTGGCGCCCCTCACCCAGGCCCCCGAGGCCGACGACCCCCAGCCCGGCAGCGGGCACGAGTTTGGGGCCCCGGACGGCGGCTCCTCCCCGGCCACCTCCCCCAGCCACACGGTGCGCAAGAGCTGCAGCGACACGGCGCTCAACGCCATCGTGGCCAAGGACGCCGCCAGCCGGCACGCGGGCAACCTCACGCTGCACGCCAACAGCGTGCGCAGGCGGGGCATGTCCATCCTGCGCGAGGTGGACGAGCAGTACCACGCGCTGCTCGAGAAGTACGAGGAGCTGCTCGGCAAGTGCCGGCAGCACCGCGCCGGCGTGCGGCACACGGGCGTGCAGACCTCGCGGCCCATCTCCCGGGACAGCTCGTGGAGGGACCTGGGGGGCAGCGAGGAGGGCCAGGGCGAGGCCAGGGCGGGCGAGAAGAGCCTGAGCCAGCACGTGGAGGCCGTGGACAAGCGGCTGGAGCAGAGCCAGCCCGAGTACAAGGCGCTCTTCAAGGAGATCTTCTTCCGGATCCAGAAGACCAAGGCCGACATCAACGCCACCAAGGTCAAGACCCACAGCAGCAAGTGACTGTGCGTCTGCAGCCCCCCAGGCCGGGCCCGGCCCCCAGCCTGGGCCGCTGCCGCTGGGGAGTGAGGGAGCCTTTGGCAGCAGTAAGGCCATGGAGGCCGCTCCGGGAGCTCGCGGGCACAGTGCCCCCTGCAGGTGTGGGGGCGAGCCACACGTCAACATGCCTGGCCTCAGAGCCCTCCCCGTCCTGTGTCAGCCCGAGGCACAGCGAAGAGTTTCAAAGCCAAACGTCCCCCTTCCCTGGGGATTCCCAGCCCTCCGCTCTCTGACCCTCGATTTGTGGCCAGGCTTCGAAAAGCCATCTGGACCAGTTGTTGTTTTGTTTTGTTTTGCTCCAAAGTTTGGGATTTTGTTGAGAGATTTGCAATGTAAGGTCCCCCTGACCCCTTGCCACAACTGGAAACACTTGAAGGGGGACCCCAGGGCCAGCGGTGGCCAGTTCCCGGGGTCTCCGTGACCACCCACTGCTTCTCCCCAGCTGTGACACTGTCATTCCCTTCGCACCAGCTGTCCCACCCCCAGGGCCCTGCCCAGGTCAGAGATGGCCCTGCATGCAGAGCAGAGCGCCTCAGCCTGGCCTGGAGTGCCCCTGCCTCTCCCCACACGCTCGCACCCCCACTCCCACCCCACCCCTACCGTAGTGAGGTGGCCTTCTCCCCGGAGACCCTCTGCCCACTGCAGACCTGTAGCCAATCAGAGGAGGGGAGCAGGACCCCTCGCAGCCATACACAGCGGTGTACCGTTCCCCGAGAGCCACCTCCTTGGGTTCCAGCCCTGGAAATGCCTTCTGGGCATTGAGCCTTCCGGGGTCTGGGCGGTGGGGCGCCCCCATCTCTGCACCCCACCTGCAACTCAAGTTTGGCCTCTGCCTACTCCCACCTCAGGGACCATCACGTGTCTCATTCACTCCCATGCTCCCCCCCAGCTGATCCCACAGCAGGTCACACCTGCTGCCCCCACGAAGTCCTGGGCATGCGCAACAAGCTAGGGTCCCAGCGTCCATCCCGCCCCCTTCGCTGGGCGGCCCGAGACTCGCCCCCACTGATCGGTTCTGAAACGTCCCCCAGAGGGAGGACATGTCTCCGTCCCATAAAAGCCTGCTCTTAGCCTCCTGCCCCTTTGGGGGCCTTGAGGACCCGGGGTCAGGGGCTTACTCTGGATAAGGCTTTAGAAAGTCCAGCTGCAACTAAGGGATGCCAAGGCCCCAGCCCTGAGCCTCTCCGGCTTCCGGCTCTGCCGCCGTCCCGAGGCCCAGAACTCGGAGGAGCAGACGGCCCGGTGAAGGCCCGGGGAACCTTCATGCCTTACTTGTTTCTAAGGGGACAGGGGTCTCTCGGGCTGCCCTGTGCGGAGCTGGGCCGGTCCTCCGTCCGCACACCTTGGAGCCCTCTGTCCTCTGGGGCTGGGCAGCTCCCGGCCCCCACGTGTCGGTCATCCAGGGGGTTGGTGGGGTGCATCGGGGTGGGGGAAGGGCTCCTGCCTGTTTGGTCTCCAGTTCTGTCGCAGCCCACCAGCATCACCTTTGAAGTATACATGAGAGAAATATATTTGCAAATGCTTTATTCTCTTCTTTAATAAAAAATGCACCAGTATTCTAAAGCAGAAAAGGCCTGGCCTGCGTGCTTCTGTGTGTCTCACACACCCGCCTCCATCACAGCTTTGGGGAGAGGGCTTCCCGAGCACCGTCCTCCACCCCACGCCCGCGCATGGTGGCGGGAGCTCTGAGGGGAGCTCTGAGGGGACAGCTCGGAGGCTGCTATTTGAGTGCCCGCTATGAGGGCACCCATGCTGGTGCTCCTTCCTTGTTGGACAGATTTTGCAGCTCCCAACCCACACCTGCCAACAGCTTTGACCTCAGAAACCAAAGAAAAGGCTCCTGAGTCTGTGGGGGCTCAGTTCCTCGCTGCCTTTACACTTCAGTTCCACGTGGACAATTCTGCGGGCTCTGGGTCCTAATCCCTTGAGGAAACGCTTCCATGACCTTCCCCCGGAGGTCCGCTCAGGGAGCGCCCCGCTGCACCTCTTTCCTTTCTGCCTGCCCGGCACCTTGGGGGCAAAGGAAAGGGGTGGAATACAGCGAGTCAGACTGGACTTCCCTCCCCAGTGCTGCAGAGAAAAAACATAAAAGCCACCAGCTCTCTGAAAGGAAAAGGAAATTCCTTCAAAAAACCTGTACACCCTCAGCATGCCTTAGTAGCAGCTAATTCTTGTTGCCCGCTGACAGGCAGCTGTAAAATCTGTTTTACTGATGGGGATCTTGAGACTTAGAGGTTGTTAGTAGCTCAAAGTCTCAAATATTTGAACACAGACCTGATCCAATCCCACTACGTGATAATGAACATTCCCTATTTCCATGTAAAACCCTCAACATTACATGGAAATAGGAAATGTATATATATTTCAAGAGAGAAACACTAATCGGCTGCCTCCTACACACCCCCAAACTAGGGATCAGCCCAAAACCCCGGCAGGTGCCCTGACTGGAATCGAACCATGACCTCCTGGTTTATAGGTTGACGCTCAACCACTGAGCCACACCAGTTGGGCTAATGTTGAGTTTTAAGAGCCAATTTGGTGGTAGCCCAGCTCACAGGCCACAGAGAAGGGCCGGCGCCTGAAGCAGAGGCGGGAAGGCTGGCTGGCTCCGCCTCCCGTGCCCACCTTTTTGAGGGCGGGCGGCACCTCTCCCCTGTCCTTCCCAGAGGCCCCTGTTCTGGATGGCTCCCGCACCGCGGGAAAGGGCTGGCAGCTGCTCTCCATCCAGGGTGACTTGACTCATTCTCCTCTCCCCCCTCCTCCCCCAGAATCCAGGGCACCAGATGGCCAGCAGCCTGTTTATTTGGGGCCGTGGAAATCTGCAGCTTCCTTTCCCTGTCCTTCTGGGTCACGCACGGGGCTGGAGTCCAGCCGCAAAGCAACGATGCCACAGAACGGGGCTGACTTGGTTAGTCATAATCCCAGAGCCGGGGACCTGGCTTGCTCCCCTGAGAAGCTTATTGCCATCACCATGGGGACGCCTCTGCTCCCTCTGAGGTCTTGGGACCAAGTCAGACAGGGAGGGATCCAGGAGACTCCCATTCCAACCTAGAGCCCAAAAGGCATATGCCAACTGCCACCCTCTTCCTCGTTTGGGTTTACAAAGGAGGTGCTTGGGGGATGGGGCAGTGTATTCCCTCCTAGAGATTTGCCTGGATCAATAAAGCTAAAGTGGTAAAACCTGGATCTGATGACGATCTCCTGTTTGAAACAGCCAACATCCCCAGGGACATCTTTTTCTGGATAATTATGCTTTTCCTAAAAATAGCACTCATTAAGAAACCACTAATGGTACTAATAATCATTAACATTCCTTCGGCTCAGCTTTCATTTCCACACTGCCTCTCAGCACAGTAACTCAGCCAACATTTAGCTGTTTCCAAACACTGCTTGCTCTACTTTGAACCTTTCTTGGGATTAGAACGTCTCAATTTTGAAGTTCATGCCTTACCAGCCCTGTAAAAGGGTCCTGCTTAGCCTGCCTGGCTTGCTGAATGTTACCTACCTCCTGGTTCCCCCAGAAAGGCAGAGGGGTGGGCGTGGTCCTCTCTTTACCACTCTTCCTTCTGCACCTGCTGCCCCTCCTCCCCCTCCTCCCACCTGGTGTTTGTCCTTACAGCCTTCACACCTGCTCAAAGCTGCCTGTGAGCCTGGCGTTACATCAGTGCCTATTTTTTTAATATATATTTTATTGATTTTTGTACAGAGAGGAAGGGAGAGAGAGATTTAGAAACATCGATGAGAGTCACAGATCAGCTGCCTCTTGCACACCCCCTACTGGGGATGTGCCCACAACCAAGGTACATGCCCTTGACCGGAATTAAACCCGGGGCCCTTCAGTCCCCAAGCCGACGCTCTATCCACTGAGCCAAACCGGTCCCGGCCTATCAGTGGCTATTGAGGACCTGTCATGTGCCAGGTTCTGGGTGCTGGAGCTCCAGCAGTGGGCCTGTGCCTCCCTGGAACTTATTCCATTCCGGCTGGGAGACAGGCAATAAAATGGAAGAATAAGTAAAGGGGAAGGAGGTGAACTAGGCCAGACAGGGCAGGCCTCATAGAAGAGGGCAGAACTGTCCAGGAGGTGACAGACTCGGAAAGGGAGAGGGGTGGTGTTTATGGCGGACACGGACCTGGGGGTTCCTTCGCTACGAGGCTCCCCTTAAAGCTCGTCGCCTGGCCAACGTCTTCCCTACCGCCAAGCCCGCGGAGGCAGCTCTAACAGGAGCCGCGGGAGAGCCACCTTCCCCCGCCCAGAGGGCGCTAAAAGTTGCGCGGAACCGAAGTGCAGCGGAAAACGCGACCTGGCGGCCCGCGGAAGGGAGCGCCCACCGGAAGCAACCCGGAGACGAACATGGCGGCCGCCCGGTGCCTGCGCTGGGGCCTGAGCCGAGCCAGAGCCTGGCTGCCGCCGCCGCCCCCGCGCTGCCCCCGCCGGGAGCTGCACAAGCAGGTAGACGGCGCCGGGTTCCAGAGCAGCTACAGCCTGGACAAGCTCTACCCGGAGTCGCGGGGCTCGGACACGGCGTGGAGGGTCCCGGTGAGCCGGGTGGGCCAGGCGGAAGGGGCGGGTCCGCGCTGCTAGGTGACGTCAGAAAGCCGGGGCCCTATTGGCTGTGCGCGCCGTTAATCCAAGGGGCCGCAGCGGAAGGAAGCTGGTTGCCCGGGCAACCGAGAGAGGCCACTGGGCGGGGCTGGGCGCCCGGGGAGGTCGTAGTGTGGGGGTGCCGGGAGAGCGCGCAGGACGTGCTTCTCGCAAGACCCCCCGCTTTTCCTGAAGTTCCCTCACCTTCAGGCCCCGATTCTTGTCCCAGGGAGAATGTGGGCGCCTGCCCCTGCAGAGGGACAGGAAAGGCAGGAGGCTGGCCAGGTGCTTGCTCCCTTCTGGAGTCTTTTGGAAAGTAACCCTGTCCTGAGCCTCCAGGAGCCCAGCACCTCTGAGGAAACGGGGCTCCCGTTCGTTTCCTCGGGATGCACGTCACCGCAGCCCGCTGTGTGCAGCTGTGGCTCGGCCCGGGGCGGGAGAGAGGGGACACGGCCTATTCCGTTCAGTGTCCACCTGCAGGCCTGGGAGAGAACGTTCGTTGGTTCACTCACTCACTCAGCAGACTTCTGTGGAGAGCAAGCCTGGTGCCCTGCGCTAGGCGCGGGGAGAGAGTAAACAAAACACAGATCCTAATGTGTGTGGGGCTGGCATTCTAATGGAGGGAGACCGCGATAGGAAAAATAAGTACTAGTACAGAGGATGTGAGGTGGTGCTTTCCTTTGGAGAAACTAAAGCCTGGAAGAGGAATGTTAAGGTAGGAGATAGTGCTGCAGGGTTTTTTGTTTGTTTTTGTTTGTTTGTTTTTAATAATATATAGTTTTTATTGATTTCAGAGAGGAAGGAAGAGAAACAGACAGACAGAAACATCAATAATGAGAATCATTGATCGGCTGCCTCCTGCAGAGTCCCCTACTGGGGATCGAGCCCATAACCCGGGCATGTGCCCTTGACCGGAATCAACCTGGGACCCTTCACTTCCCAGGTGGACCCTCTGTCCACGGAGCCAAACCGGTTAGGGCATAGTGCTGCAGTTTTAAGTGGGATGGCCTGGGAGGCCCCGGAGAAGGTGACATTGAGGAAGGGCCTGGATGAGGAAGGCAGTGAGCCCAGAGAACAGAGGGGAGGCGGCATCCCTGAGGAGCGAACAGCAGCGTAGCCACCTTAAACCAGTTAGCACGCCCTGCTTGTTCCAGGCCAGCAAGCAAGCCCGCATGAGGACCCGGTGGAGGGTTGGAGGCAGAGGAGTGGAGTGATCCCTCTGAGGAGCTAGGCCTCCCATGGTGCCCGACCCTAGCTGAGGTGGGGGGAGGGAGGCTGGAGACGAGTCAGTTCCATTTTCCAGGAGGAGGGTTTCTGAGACGGTACCTCCTGAGTGTGAGGGAGCTGTTGTGTCCTCTGCTATGACTGGGCTGGGAACCGGAAGGAGTTGTATTCCATTTGTGTTGTGGCTTTCCATCACTTCTTTGGTGCCCTGGACTTGAGTCACCCTGCAGGTGATATGTATTTGACGCTGTGTGCATTGCATTACAGGATGACGCGAAGCAAGCCAACGATATTCCTCTAGGTGAGTAATTAGGTTTTATAAATAAAATCAGCCCGGCTGGAGTGGCTCAGTGGTTGAGTGTCGACCTATTACCAGGAGGCAGCCGATCAATGGTTCTTTCTAACCCTTGATGTTTCTCTCTCTCTCTCTCCCCCTCTCCCTTCCTCTCTGAAATCAATAATATATGTATATTTTTAAAATAAATACAATTAAACTAAGTGACACTGGAACAAAGGGGCCAGGTGGGAAGTGACTCAAGAGAGAGGCCACCCCATGGCCAGGTTGATAGCTGCATCTGAGCCCTGAGGTGTGCACATGCCTGGAAGAGGCAGAAAGCCTGTCATTGGCCAGGGGCTCAGAGGCTGCCATGATGGTCATTACCTGGGTCATCATTTTCCGACCTCTGTTGACTGTGTGACCTTGGGAAGGTCCCTTGATTTTAGTTTTGACATCTACAAATAATCTCTTCTGGCCCCAATGTTAGGTTTATATATATGTTTTTGGTTTGTTTTTTTAAAAATATATTCCACTGATTTTTTATAGAGAGGAAGAGAGAGGGATAGAAACATCGATGAGAGAGAGACATCAGCTGCCTCCTGCACACCTCCTACTGGGGATGTGCCCGCAACCAAGGTACATGCCCCTGACCGGAATCGAACCCGGGCTGACGCTCTATCCACTGAGCCAAACCAGTTAGGGCTATATATGAGTGTTTGAGAGAGAAGTGAGAGAGTTTGCCAGGAGGTAATCACTCTTTGGTGTGTGTTGTTCGCAGATCGCTTGACAATATCTTACTGTCGGAGCAGCGGGCCTGGAGGCCAGAACGTTAACAAAGGTACCGGGCGTGTGCTTTCACTTTAAGACTTAGAAGTCCGACTTGAGGACTCTGTGTTTGCATTCATGGGGCATAAAGGGCATTTTTTCATCAGAAGCTTCAATGCTGCCAGTTTACAATAATCCTCTTTATTCTTTGGAATGCGGTCGGATTCTCAGCCTCTCAGCTGTGGGTTGTGGGACTAGGATTGGCCTGAGAGTGAAACAAAGGGAAACCACAGGGCGGGCTGGCAGCCAGCTCCCAGCACAGGTTCCCCTGGTTCTTGTGGAGCCCATCCCCCACGCACAGCCCGGAAGCTGTAAGAGAAGCGCTGGGCGATTCCTTCCCGGAGGCCGTTCTCGTCCCGAAGCGCCTCGCTGTCTGGCAGCTTGGGATCCCCACGTTGGCGCAGGACAGGGCCCCTGGTTGGGTTTCTCCCCTCCCTTTGTTTCAGGACGGTCGCCAGTGGTCACCCGGGAGCTGAGCCTCCCTGGAGCCTCAGTGACCCGTGCTCCCTGTCCCTTTCTTTCCAGTGAATTCCAAGGCCGAAATCAGGTTCCACTTGGCAACCGCCGACTGGATCGCGGAGCCGGTGCGCCAGAAGATGGCCATCATGGTAACGCCGGCCCCTTCCTCTCTTCTTTACGCCGCAGCCGCTTCCAAGCCTTCCCTCGGGGGAACGCTGGCTCTGCCCTTGTCTCTTGCAGCATAAGAACAAGATCAACAGGCTGGGAGAGCTGATCCTCACCTCCGAGTGCAGCCGCTACCAGCTCCGGAACCTGGCAGACTGCCTGCAGAAAATCCGAGACATGATCGCTGAAGCCAGCCAGACGCCCAAGGAGCCATCCAAGGAGGATGCTGTCCTCCGGAGAATCAGGTGCCCGGGAGCGCCCCAAGCCCCAGCTTCCTCCAGCGGAGTCCTGAGGGGCAGGCCAAGCCGGGGTTCCCAGCAGAGAGGTGGGAAAGGGGGGGACGGGAGGGGCTTGGAGCTGGTGCTGCTGATTTAGCTGCTCTGCCCCCCGCTGAGCTGCCAGCTCCTCTCCCCACTTCCATAGGCACTGATGGGGCACCTGGGCCTCATTGGGATCTTTTTGTTTGTGTATTTTTTTTTTTTGCAGGATAGAAAACATGAACCGGGAAAGGCTGAGAAAAAAGAGGATAAATTCTGCCACAAAGGCAGGCAGGAGGGTAGATATGGACTGAAATCACCCTCCAGAGCCGCCGGGCAGCCGGCGGGAGCTCAGTGCTGCAGGCCACAGCCTTGCTGTTTTCGGTTTTAATGCGTCTCTGACATCGGAGCCATCGGAATTGTCCGCTCAAGAGCGAGGGTGGCAGGCGCTGGTGTCAGAGGTCTCCATTGGCGATGACATGCTGTCACACCTCACCCTCTTCATGCAGTGGCTGCACTAAAATTCTACATGCAAAAAATAAATAATAAAATTCTAAAGGCCGGGCCTTCCCTTCCTCGGTGTTCAGGACGGGGTCCCTGCCCCTCTTGGGCTGAAATCTGCCGGAGGGTAAGGGCTCCTGATGCGCCGACTGCAGCCCCAGCCCCAGCCCGGGGCCCGGAGCGAGCCTGTGCCTGCCCTCCAGGGACGCGGTCAGGCGGAGGCAAAGGGACAGCGTTTAATCAGTAGGAAGGCGAGCAGCACATGCCCATTGGCGGGAACAGGACGGGTCAAACCAAAGGAAAGGCCGGCGTGGAGGAGACTGAGGAAGCCACGAGGAGCATTTGTGTGTGTGTGGGGGGGGGGGGGGGTCAGGGAGGCAGTCTGGACCAGCTCCCTGTGGAGACTCGAATTCGGGTTAAGCGGTTTCGAGTTGAAGAAACGTGGGTAAAAAATAAAAAATAAATGTGGGTAAGGGAACTGCTTGAGTGGGAAGGAATGTCATGGGGTCGCTGCTATCCCAGGCGCCGTGTTGGGGGCAGGAAAAGGGACCTGGAACTAGACAGCGGGTTTTGCAGGGGGGTGTGGGCAGCACCAGGCCAGCAGGACGGCAGCGGATCACTGTGACGTGTGTGAGTCCCACAGACTGTTCTGTTACTTTGATCCAATTCACTCATTTACAAATGCTGCACTGCGCTGCCCTCAATGAGCAGAGCACTGCGTACACTGTGTGAGCAGGACCTCATTCACGTGAGTGTAAGTAAAGCGGGGACTCTTCAGTACTGACTTGGGAAACACAAAAGGTGTGGGAGACATGGCCCAGCCCTCAAGGGATGAGAGCCCGGTGGGGAGCAAGGACAGGCACCACTCAGAGTCCCTGAGGCTCTGAGGCCCCAGGGAGTCAGCAGTGACCATCCTTTCTCCCAGGGAACGGCCATTCCATGGCTGAGAAGCAAAGGGGAACCCTGTGCGGTAACATGGCCTAAAACGAGAGAAGTAACATGAGAAAGGTCTCGACATTGTGGGCGGCAGAGGAACCATTCGTTCTGGCTGGAAGGTCAGAGAAGTATTTGCCTGAAGGAGGGAAGAGCTGGCCATGCCAGCAAGCGAAGAGCTTGGCCCTGCCTGCAGCCCGGACAGTGGACTGTATCTCTGAGAGGATGGGCTCTGAAGCCAGCCTCCCCTGGCCAGTCCCTGCCCGCCCCTCCCAGCCCCCAGCCCCCGCTCCCGCCAGCTGTGGGCTTCTCTGAATCTGTTTCTCCGTCTGGAAACCGGATGATGATATCACTGCCAGCCTCCTGGAGTGGTTGTGGGGCTTCAGTGAATATACACGTGGTTAATGGCTGAGTATGTCCTGGGGGAACGAGATTAAGAGCCCAGCTCTGGGGCCTGTGAGCTGTACACTTGGCCACATGCAGGTTTCACCTCAACAAGCAGATAAATTGATTGACTTAAATGAGGGCAGGAGCCGGGAGCCGATGCAGATGCATTTAGCCCTTCTTGCTGATGTGGAAGGAAGGAGATCGGTTTCTGCAGACTCCGCACTTTGGAGAGAAACGGAAAATCATGTCCACCCCTCTACTGAGCTGGCAGAAAACTCTGTGCCCTCGCTGCGGAGGAGGGGGAGGCCAGGTGCCAACCAGGCATGACGGGGAAGCATGGCCCGTGGCTGAAGCTTCTGCTGTGGCCGTTCAGATGGGCATGGATTCTAACGGGACGGTCACTGGTTTAAAAACGTGCCTTTTTTTTTTTTTTTTTTTTTTTTTTTTTTTTTTTTTTTAAATCTGTACTGCTTTTCAGCTAACAGTTTTAAAGGAATAAGATATTAGGGCGAAGTATCTATTTGGCTATTTGTTTTCTGTATAGTACGCATTTGTACATAGCATGTACATTATGAATATACACCGAGTGGCCAGATTATTATGATCTCTGAACGCATAATAATCTAGCCACTCAGTGTATATCTTATAGAATAAAAGGCTAATATGCAAACTGTCCCCTTGACCAGGAGTTCGACCAGCAGGCAGGCTGGCCAACCGCCCATGTCCCCTCGCTGGCCGGACCCCACCCATGCACGAATTCATGCACCGAGGCTCTAATATATATTATATAGATAAATGCCGCGTGGCCAGATTAGTATGCGTTCAGAGATCATAATAAGCTGGCCACTCAGGTAGACCTGTATTTCTATTATGTAGAAGGATTTGTTCCCCCTGGTGTCCCTGCCTCGCGATGGTGAAGTTGTCCAGGGTCTGTTTCGCCACTCATGACTGAGGCTCTCTGTTCTCGTGAACCTCCCACACCCCTTTTCCCTAAAGTCCCCGGGGTTTCTGTCCGTTCTGTAGAGGCGTGGACATAACAGCTCGAACCTCTTCACCGGCCACGCTCTGGGTGTTCCGCAGCCGCAGCGGTGGTTCCGCTCACCGCCCAGGGCAGCCTCTTCCTGCATCTTCCGGGTCCATCGTGAGCCCCGGAAGCCCATCCGAGCGCACCCCCGACTCGGTGTCCCCCGGTAAACGTGTGCCCCATTAATTTTTGTCCTGAAAGACCCGGAGTCCCATTGACTACTAAGGAGAAAAATACGAAAGCTGTAACCTACAGGCCCCAGTGGCCTAATGGATAAGGCACTGGCCTCCTAAGCCAGGGATTGTGGGTTCGAGTCCCACCTGGGGTACAGCCGTACTTTTTAAAACTAAAACTGAAGAGTTCTCTCCGCTGCAGCTGGATATTAGGGGAAAAAAAAAAAAAAAAAAAAAAAAGCCCGAGTGCAACGGCCCGGAACACCGAAAGGCCCCAAAGCAAAGGTTCCCCGAGAGCAACCCGCACCCGTTCCTTTTCTCCAGCTCACAGCCGGCGCTGAGGGCAGGACTTGCCTGTAGATGTCGGGAGGGTGCAGCGTGTTCCCAGGACCGCGAGGGCGAAGGCAACAATGAGCGTGGGAGGGGGGCCAGGTAGACACCCCCGGATTGCAAAAGCGGGGCGGTGGGAGGGCTGTAAGGGAGCGGGCGGGGGTCAGAGGCCACGCGGCCCAGTCCACATGGAACGGAGCCTCTGGCTGCCCGCGAGCAGCACGGGAGGGTCCGAGCTTCGCGGATCAAAAGTTACTTGTAGAAGGTGGCCACAGGCACCACCCCAGGTGGGACTCGAACCCACAATCCCTGGCTTAGGAGGCCAGTGCCTTATCCATTAGGCCACTGGGGCGAGATAAAAAGCCTCACCCTCGAGGCCCATGGTAATGCTCAGCAGCACGTGCACTAACCTCGTCCGTTTTTGTCGTATCCCTAGACCCGTATTTAGCACGAGCCGCAGAAAGCCAACTGGACAACCAGAGGGAACACCCGCCGGGCTCCGCGAAAAGCTGGAGGGAGAGGAAAAGATTGGAGGTGCCCGCTGAAACCGGCACCGCCGAGGAGAGAGCGCGTTCCTCGGAAGGGGGGTGTCTGCGAGCCAAGAGACTAGGAGAGGGGATGGGGAGCGAGGCCACTGGGATGCCGAGGGGTATTGCTATGGCCCCAGCCACGAGCCACCGCCCCCTCTTCAAAAAAGAGAGACCCGACCACGAAGGGACTCGAACCCTCAATCTTCTGATCCGAAGTCAGACGCCTTATCCGTTAGGCCACGCGGTCCTCGTGTGCGAGCGGAGAGCAATATCCTATTCAGGTGCAACCTCCTCGCTGGTGGCAGCGGCGGCTCAAGCGACGAGTGTTGGTGCTGGGCTTCAGGGCGCATGAAAGGCGGAACCAGGATGCAGTCCCTGCAGCCGACGTCTGTGCGGTGCGTCCTTTTCGCCCTAAAGAAGCATCGCCGTAGAACTCCACCTTTAAGGGCATGTGTGGTGCAGCGGGTAGACGGCCTGACTCTGGCTCAGGAGGTGGAAGGTTCTAGTCCTCTGTTAAGGAGAGGTCAGCACACTGTGTTAAACCTCAAACGTGAACGTTTTCCTCGGACCTCTGCAGTCTTCCACCCACTCTCGGCTCTGGGCTGCAATCCCACTGCGCGATAAACCTTGATTGTTTTGCAGCCCGGAGCTTCCGGGGTGACGTCATTACGCAGCCTAACCCGTCACAATCAAAAGCCAAATGATCGCGCGGCGCCTGCGTACTGCCCCAGTGGCCTAATGGATAAGGCACTGGCCTCCTAAGCCAGGGATTGTGGGTTCGAGTCCCATCTGGGGTGAAGTGGTTATTAGCCACTGACTTTTTCTAGACCCCAGATAAAAAACTTGCCTTCTCTTTTCTCTTTTTTATAACCTTTTCTGTATGTGTTGCACAGGAGAGCTTCAGCAGCAATTATCGTACCCTTTTAAAAAAATGTGTGTGCATATATATATATATATAATTTTTATTGATTTCAGAAAGAAAGCGATAGAAACATCTATGATGAGAACCATGGATGGGCCGCCTCCTACACGCCCCACACGGGATGGAGCTCGCAACCTGACACCACAGCATGTGCCCTGACCTCCTGGTTCACAGATCCACACCACCCCGGCTGGGCTTATCCTTTCTTTTTGATCAAGCTGTACTGCACTCTGAAAGGTGTGAGAGCCAAGGGGGCCCTACTTCCTGTTGCCTCTGCGTTGGTATCCACTCATCTGGTGAAAGGAGTGTGTTCTGTGAGAGACCATCACTGTACAGTTAATTGGCAAAACCTTAGCCCCTAGTCTCTCCCTGCCTCCCATTGGGGTGAAAATGCTGCCCAATTCTATGCCAAAGATTCTGCTGTGGGCTGCTCCCATTGAGATGGCACCCAGTTCTATGCAGGAAAGAAGCTGGCACTCAAACCTTCTGATCCAGGAGTGCTGAAAAGAGGTAATTAGCCTTAGCTTGTTTGGATCAGTAGATAGAGCACTGGCCTGTGGATTGAAGGATCCCAGGTTCGATCCTGGTTGAGGGCACATTCCCAGGTTGCAGACGTGGTCCCCAGCTGATCAATGATTCTCATCATTGATGTTTTTCTCTCTCCCCCTACCTTCCTTTCTGAAATCAATAAAAATATATTTTAAAATAAATATATAGATAAAATAAAGGTACACTTATAGCTGAAACTGGTTCAGCTCAGTCGATAGAGTGGACTGTAGACTGGAAAGGTCTCAGGTTTGATTCCGGTCAAGGGCATGTATAATACATTGGTTTCAGGCACATTCCCTGTGGGGGTGTGCAGGAGGCAGCTGGTTGATGTTTCTTTCTCTCTCATTGATGTTTCTAGCTCTCTAGCCCTCTCCCTTCCTCTCTGTAAAAAAATCAATAAAAAATATTTTTTAAAAAGGTATTTATGATTTTCACACTTTCATATGTGTGTATCCTTTAGAAAAAAAAAAAATTTAAGCTACAAATCTGGCCAGATGATTTTTTATTTATTTTTTTACCTTGAGGCCCATAGCTCCTGAGAATGGCTGGGCTTCCAAGGTTGAATCTCTCACATTATGTGCTGTGTTGTTGATGGGATTTTCATAAGTCCTTGACTCCAAAAAGTTTAAAAACCAGTTTCTTGTACTTTTGTAAAAGAAACAATGAACAAAACAGAAATACAGCATTCTTCTCTTCTCCAGGGCCATCCAGTTGTCTCTACTCCAAACCAGTCACCAAGTGTCATGGATGCCACGTTAAAGCTCCCTCTGGCTCCCAAGGTTTGCCACATGGGCTCCTGTGGGCTCCTCTGCCTGAGACACCGATTCTGTTCATTTCAGGCTTGTTCTCCCTGAAACCATCCTCCATGCTCTGCCTCCAAGAAGCTTACATTGCAGTGAGAGAGGACAGGAAATAATTAACAGATGATTCAAAATACAGGGCGATGGGAAACTACTGAATAGTCAGAGGCCTCTGGGTAGAGAATAGCAAACTTACCATTGGCAAGGTTGTCAGCTTCAAAGGACTTTATATGTTTTTATTGAGTTTAGAGACGGAAGGGAGAGAGAAACACCAATCAGCTGCCTTTTGCAAGCCCCCTCCCGGGGATGGAACCTTCAACCCCAGCGTATGCCAATCCAGCCAGGACTTCCAAGGCCTTATTTAATGTCTTGGCTGATACACTACCTACCTCATAGGGTTGTTTTGGGGAGAAATGAGGTATTTATCTACAGTGATTAGAACAATTCTTAGGGCATAGTGTATGCTTTCTAAGTCCTGATCATCATTATTTACTAATTAATATATTAACCCTATTATTCAAAGTTTATGTGATAATCTCCTAGCTAGCTATGAACCCCTGAAGGCTCACATTTCTTCTCTTTCATTTACAAAGAATTCATATTAAGGCTCTTCTAAATCCCAAGCACAGTGCTAAGCCCTGGGGAATAGAAATATGACTAAGGTATAATGCGGCACTCAACGAAGAATCTTCTAGATCTTCTGGGATTGAGAGCATATCCTGTCCATTAGACAACTGAACCACATACACCTATAGGCTCACCTTTCCATTTTAACAAAAAGCCTACTTCCTGTGAGGTCGCCCCAGAGCTGTAACTAACTCCACTGCAAAGGAGCAGACACACACACAGCGCCATCTGATAATCTTTAATGTCCAGAGAGTTCATAACACAAGGACCAGAGCGTCCTCTCAGACTCAGGTTTATAAACTCTCTACTGGCCTGTGAGGCCAGTAGGGATATTTCTTCTTGTCTAATTTGGTTTCTGGGAAGACTTCATTCAAATCCTCCAGGGTCATCTGGTCGAATGGAATTATGTTCCTCATCTTCTCCAGCTGGAAGGAGGGGAAACAGGTGAAGGTAAGGAGGGCTGCAGAGATGCAGAAAAGAAACCCAAGGCAGGTTACTGCCACTCGGTAGGAGGGGAAACATATCCCCAAGGCCAGTCCTCCTTACCTCTTTCTCGTATTGCTCAATCCTGGACTTTGAGAGAGACACAAACTCAGCACAATTTTTCACCTTTAAAAGAAGGGAGAGTTTCTGGTTTGGATCCAAGTCAAAGTGTCCTGACCCTGAGGCCCCCAAGGTCTGAGGAGTCCTGGAGCCAGACCACCGCTGCTTGCTCTGTAGCTGCTGCCTCCTGGGGGAGCGGGCTCTGGGAGGCAAACTCCAGCCTAATGCACAAGCAGCCCACGCAGAAGCCGCTTACAATGGCAGAGCCAGGGTTCTGCAGCAAGTTGACTCATCTAGGCAACCTGCAAAATGCCCGTTTCCCGGGTGCTGGGTACGAAAGGGTCGGGACAAGATGCCTGACTCCCTCGCCAGGCTTCTCTTTTGCGGAGCCACCTGCGCTCCAACCTGCGGCCTTCAGTACTGCCAAGCACACTGGGTAATTTTCCCACCCAATTCCAACTCCTTAATTGTTGGTGACAGCTTTGCTGAGGTGTAACTGACGTACAGTAAAAACGCACATATTGCCGAAACAGGTTTGGCTCAATGGATAGAGCGTCGGCTTGGGGACTGAAGGGTCCCGGGTTCGATTCCGGTCAAGGGCATGTACCTTGGTTGCGGGCATATCCCCAGAAGGGGGTGTGCAAGAGGTGGCTGATCGATGACTCTCTCTCATCGATGTTTCTAACTCTCTATCTCTCTCCCTTCCTCTCTGTACAAAATCAATAAAATATATTTAAAAAAAAAAACAAACACGCACATATTTAAAGAATCCACTGGATCAGTTAAATGCATCCACCGGTGAGACCGTCACCACAATCAAGAGAGAGAACACGCTGATTAGCCCCTCCCTCCAATTACCAGGCGACTACAGAGGTTGCATTTTCTAGTTTTATTCCTCCTTTTAGTTCACTCTACTTCTACCTGGTGATTGTGAAGAGTCATCAGGAATGAAGAGCACCTTACATAATAAAGATGCAATATGCAAATGTCGTCGTAAAGACGGATCACAGATCAGCAGGAGGGCGGGGCAGCGAGCTATGAGGTGGGAGAGCCCAGTGAGGTAGGTACTGGCGAATTACTGGCGCACGGAATCGAGCACAGGGCTATTAGTTTTGGAAAAGAAGAGTCCCAACTACTTACATCTTCTTTTTCTTCAGCGTCCACCAGGGCAGTGTAATTATCCTGTGGCACAGGCACCTTCAGGGCGTTAAACTGCAAATACAGGCACAGCGAGCCGCCGTTAATACACGCCACTAATCCTTAGCGACCACATAGAACACAGTCTCCATAACAAGAAAAAGCCAGTATGGAGCGAGGGTGCTGCAGTGGGAAGAACATGGGGCAGGGAAAGGGATCTCGGGTTCTTCTGAATCCTGTCACGAACTGGAGACCTTGGACAATCCTTTATTACGATGACCTTCATCTGAGGACAGCTGAACTGGATGACCTCAAAAATGGCCTCTTATCCCTGGCCCAGTAGCTCAGTTGGTTAAAGCGTTATCCCCAGTTTGCGGACTGAAGGGTCCCAGGTTAGATTCCAGTCAAGGGCATGTACACTGGTTGCGGGCACATCCCCAGTAGGGGGTGTGCAAGAGGCAGCTGGTCGATGTTTGTCTCTCATCGACGTTTCTAGCTCTCTATCTCTCTTCCTTCCTCTCTGTAAAAAAATCAATAAAATATATTTTAAAAAAATAAAAAATAAAAAAAATAAAGCGTTATCCCAAAAGGCCAAGGTTGTGGGTGCGATCCCCGGTCAGGGCACATACAAGAATCAGCTAATGAATGCAGGAATAAGTGAAACAACAAATCAATGGTTCTACAAAAAAAAAAAAAAGGAGGGGTGGGGATGGGGGATCTCTTAGAAACTTGTAGCTCTAACAAAATTCTTATTTCTCTTTTAAGTGAAACCCTAGTGGACTGGTGGAACTAATGTTTGCAGAATGGAGATGGAGATGGTCTCCCTAGGAGATGGCTTAGTGTTATAGCCCCAGCACTCAGCGCTGCACCTGGCACAGAGTAGACCCTTGATAGGTAAACAAGAAATTACAGCTTGTAAATTAGAGTGAAAAAAAAGAAAAAAAGAAGAAGAAAAAAAAGGCAGAGTAGAGAAAGGAGGAAAACAGGGAAAGGTAGAAAAGGTAACAGTTTATTCCAAAGGAGACAGGTGGGGGACCAAAAAATAATTCAGGAGGAGGAGTGGAAACCTAACTTGACAGCCCTCGGGCTCCCTGAGTAAGGCCATACTGTGTGTTTCTTTGGATAAAACCTGTCGAATAAACAGACCCTGAATCCTCTGCCTGTACCATTTACCTGCTAACAGGAGACCTCTGGCCACACGCACCTCCCCTGAGCTTCCTTCGGGATCTGAGTGCTACCCCCCCCCCCCTTCTTTCCTTGCTGTCATCCCGCGTCCCCCCTCTCCCACCAGCCGCGTTACCAGGCCAGTGCTGCAGCTGCCTGCAGGCTCACCTTCTTCTCAAACTCATCCACCAAGCCGGCCTTCGCCACATTGGCCTTGTAGTAAGCCCAGTCGATGGCAGGAGGTTTCTCGGGGAGAGTAGCCAACCTGCTCACAGGAAAGACAAAAGTTCAGATTGTTCTGTGAACAGAAAACTCACACAGTCACTTCCCTGCTCCTTCTTCCTGCCGCCTGGGTGGATCATCACTGTCCTCTAGGTGGGAAAGCAGTGGAAGGCAAAACGGTTCCTTTCATTTGGAAAATACATGGATTTCTTTATCCCTTCAGAAGAGCATCAAAAAGTCACATGTCGCCCTTAATCACCATTTCGTTTCCACATTCAATGGAAGTCAGAGCGCTCCCTCTGCGAAAGGGACTGCCCTGGAGAGAACCAAGACAAAGGCGAAGTACCGGCCTGTGCTTGCCGCCTCCCACAACCGTTTCAAACTTACAAGTAGCAAACAGAACAGCCAGCATTCAGAACCGCCCGAAAGCGGGCTGAATGGAAGCCCTAAGACCAGAGAAGTAAAGAAGGCACAGAGACTGCCTCGCTGAGCCGCCTTCTGTGTGCTGTGTACCCCCAGGTGAGCAACAAAGCCAGCCTCAGGGCCAGCTGCATTGAATGACCTCCACCGATCAGTGCAGATCACAACCCTGAAAGGACACACCTGGAGAGCTGCTGAGTATTCTATATGATCCTCCCCTGGGGCCGCCCCTAAAATCTCCGCCTTAAAACCCTTAGGATGGAGGGCCCAGTGCCTCCCCTAACCCCTTCCCCCTCCGGCCCCGCCCCAGGCCCGTTACCATTGGCTCCAAAGGCCCTTCCTTTGCCTCTGCAACTTGTTTCCTAAGCCCATTTCTTCTAGGAATTATTGCTTCTACCTCTGCCGTTTACCAAATAACTGTTCTCTGACAACAACACAGGGGGACTGACCTGGAGGTGAGGGTCTCGTTCCAGGATTTCAGGGTGTTAGCAATGGCCTTCTGGTTTTTGGGTATGATCTCCCCAAAAGCTACCCAGTCAATGGTTTTTAGAGCAAGTTTTCGCCCAGCCATCTTGAGATCCTGGAAAATAAAACAGGTCAGATCAAAACTGGGCTTTTGGAGAGAATTCTAGGGAGGCCATCTTGGAAACATGCCAGTCCTTCAGAAACAGATCCGCATCCTCCGAGTGCGTGGTGGACGTACTTATCAACTAAAGAAATCAGGATAACTCAGAAAAGGCCAGCGCAGCTCTCCCAATTCAAGGTGTGCACCTTGACGCGTAAATATATTTTTCCCCCTATGCTCCTCCCTCTATTCTCCAACTCCTAACTCATCCTAAAAACCCCGATTCTCTGGTGTTTGTTTTCCACGTACCTTTGGAAATATTGCTGAAGTAACACTCATGCCTTGCATTAAAGTTAAAAAATTAAATTAAATGCGTTTCCACTCAGACTGTGTTTTATTCGCTGACTCTCCCGTGCTCGGAGCTGACACATACCCCCGTTCCCACCAAGGCCTAATCAGAGCAGACTCTAGACTGGAATCTCGGCTCCTGGGAAGTGAGGGTCTCCTCAGCCCTGCTTACTCAGGAAGCTGGTGAAAGGATCAAATGAAATCGTGCACGTCAATTTCTCTAGTTTTATACAAACTTAAGAGGCTCGAGAGCCCTCCCTATCAGATCAGCCACATGCCTGCACTCCTTACTCCTGTCTGATGTACCCCGGCGGCAGCGGCACACTGAGTGTGCTCTGGGCAACACCCTAAGCGTGTATGTGAATGTGAGACAAGGAGGAAAGTGATTACAGCCTTTTTGTTTTCGGTAACTCTTTATTGTTGGAAGTATTACATGTCTTCCCTTTCCCCCCAGTGGGCCCCCTCCAGGCCACCCCGGTCCCCCATCCCCGTCCCCCACTGTCTGCAGCCATGGCCCATGCACATATGCATATAAGGTTCTTGGTTGATTACTTCGCACCACCACGGCCATTTTTAAATAAGACCGAATAGAGTAAAACAGTCCACTGAAACTCGGTAAGACCAGTGTCAACATCAAGAGAAAGGCTGACATGTCAAAGGTCTAGACCATGGGGTGGATCACAGGGAGGTGGCAGTGAATCTTCCCCAGATCTTTTTTTAAAAAATATATATATATTTTTTATTGATTTCAAAGAGGAAGGAAGGGAAGAGAGAGCAACATCAATGCTGAGAGAGAAACATTGATTGGCTGCCTCCTGCACGCCCCCTACTGGGAATCGAGCCTGCAACCCGGGTTATGTGCCCTGGACCCCGGATATGTGCCCTTGACCGGAATCAAACCCGGGATCCACATTCTAACCACCAACCCAGATCTTAAAAAAAGAAACTTGTCCAACACCTGCCGCTTCCCTTCCTTTCCCCTTCGGACAGCCTGCTCGCTGGAATGGAGGGGAGGGGAGTTTGAAAGACGCCAGAGGAGCAGCTCCTTAAAGAGACCTTTCCAAGCACCAGGAGCAGGTGGGCTCCGTGAGGGAAGGGATTTCTGTCTCTTATCTGCTGGGGAGTCCCCAGCGCCTAGAACAGACCGTGCACACAGGAGGCGCTCCATGAGGACCTGCTGAAGGGGAACATGAACCTGCACCCGAGGAGCTCCGTCCAGGCCACAGCTCGAAGCTCGACCCCTCGGGAGGGAAAGGCGGACGCACCCAGTTGCATTACTATCTTCAGGTGACGCTGCTCCAGCCCCCAACCCGGACGTCTACCCTCCCGGGGCGCCCGGGCGAGAGCGGCTCTGCGGAAGCGCCTCGGTGAAAGGTGACCGGGTCGCAGCCGGGCCGGCGACCTCTCCCGCGGGGAGGGAAAAGGAAGGAGCGCGGGGCAGAGCGGCTGCAGCTGCACCCGGGCCCGCTTCCAGCGAGGCGCCCGCAGCCTGGCGTCCTCGGCGGCATTGCGACAAGGGTCGGCGCGAGGTTTGGAGGCGAAAGAGCAGAGGAACCCCCTGGGGTCGGACCCTGCGTCCCAACCCGACTCACCTTCACCGACCCCGGCGGCCCGCAGTCCACAGAGGAAGCAACGGAAGTGCGTCACCGGAAGGGCTTCCCTCAGCCAACCACTAATCCAAAGGGGCGGGCCTTGCCGCGCAGGTTAGCCAATTAAGATGAAGGTTCCTTCGGGAAGTCCCGCCCACAAGGCGGGCACAGCGCCTCCACGGTGCGGATCCCCGGGTGTTGGTTGGGGGCGCTCGCGGCCCTCTCCCCGGCCCCACCCCCGCCGATGGGCCGGCCCGGCTCTCCCTCCGCGAGATGGGCCGGCCCGGCGGCGCGCGGGCAGTGGCGGCGGCGGCGGCCCAAGATGGCGGAGCTGCAACTGGACCCGGCGATGGCCGGGCTGGGAGAGGGGGGTGGGAGCGGGCTGGGCGACGGGGGCGGCCCGGGCCGCGGACCTCCCAGCCCTCGCCCCGCCGGCCCCGCCGGCCCCACGTCCCGCGGCCACAGCCGCCCGCCCGCCGCCGCCGCGCAGCCGCTCGAGCCGGGTCCCGGACCCCCCGATCGGGCAGGGGGCGCCGGCGCGGCCCGCTGGGTCCGGCTGAACGTGGGCGGCACCTACTTCGTGACCACCAGGCAGACCCTGGGCCGCGAGCCCAAGTCTTTCCTCTGCCGCCTCTGCTGCCAGGAAGACCCGGAGCTGGACTCGGACAAGGTGCGCCCCGCCCTCGGGCGCGCCCTCGGCCTGCAGGACCCCGCGTGCCTCCTAGGCTGGCCCCCAGATTCCTGTGGCACCCCCCTCGCAGGCGGGCTCCGGGCCTGGACCCCCTCTCTTCCCTCCTCCCTACAAGCTGTAACCCCGGCAGCTCGTCTCGCCCATGCCCCGGCGCACCCCGGGCTTCTCTCTGACCCCACCCTTCTTTCGGTGTCAGCGGCCCGCTCGCCACACCGCCCCCCCGCACGCACGGGAACCCCTTCTCCGGATTCCTCTCCAGCCCTCATCACAGCCTCTCGGGTCTGCATGAGTTTCCCCCTGGCTCCCCGTCAGCCCCTCACTGCCGGGGCCAGGTCCGCCCAGAACTGGGTCAGGGTGAGCCAAGGCATCTTTGTAGCTTTCTCAGACTTCCTCTCGGACCCTCTGCCAAGTTGGGTGAAAGCCCGGGTTAGAGGATGGCTCGACACGGCTGCCATCACACTCCTTTCCCGGGGTCACGGCCCCTGAGCTGGGCGCTGGCAGCAGTCGCTGTCTGAGGTCCATCTCTGGGATGAGATGCATTCCTTGGAAGGAGGTTGCCGTTTCCCGTGCCAACCCCAGACCACGGGTTCAGATCCAGGGAAAAGGAAAACAGGAATGCTGTTGGGCAGGATGCATCACTGCTCACCAACAGCGGGAGAGGACCCAAGAGACTTAACCCATTTCCAGTTTGAACTGTCATTTTTTGTGTGTTTTGATTTTAACTTGACACATTCAGCTTTTAGTTCCCAGACTACAGGAATTTAGTCTGGGAACTAAAAGCTGAATGTGTCAAGTTAAAAACATCACCTTGTAGCCCATATACCCATGTAGCCCATATACCCATGCAGCCCATTACCTGGAAGCAGATTTGGGGCTGGGTAAACATGGGTCGATTTCACTGACCTCTCCTCTAATCAGTCTCCGACTGATGGAAACCTGTCCTGCCCTGACTTTAAAGAGATTCCCAAAGCCTCGCTTTTAAAGGAATTGTTTTTCATCCACCCTAAGCCTCCCTTATTGCAATAGATCCCGTTTATTCGTCTCTCTTTTACTGTAAAGATGACAGGATCAGAACTGCTCAGAGCCAAGCCCTGGCAGTGCCCAGCTTCCTCTGGGCACAGAGCTGGGGTGTGTGAGGTGCAGCTGGCACTGCAGACTGCCACTGACGTTGGCCTCGAACGCGGGAGCATTGCCAACTACACAGTTTTCTTAGAATTAGGAATATGATTCAGGGACAAGAGGGAATTCAGAATGTCCATCTCAAGCAGAGATTTAACCACAGCTATGGCGTTTTTCTTCCTCCCTTTCTTAAAAAAAAACAAAACAAAACACACACACACACAACAATAGCCAGAAAAATTGGTCATTGTGTCCAAGTAAATATTTTAAAAGTTCAAGTAAACACCTACATGATATGACTGTCCATCCGGAACATCTCACCTTAAAATTATCTTAAAGTATCAGATACATAAAGCTAGTCTTCTTGCCAGTAGTTTGTGATATGCAAACGTCTAGCAAAACATGCCCTCTCATGATTTGTGACCAGGTTGAAACACTGTCCTGACTCTGTCTAAAAGCTCCCCGGTGATAACCCTTGTGTTTGTCTGCAGGATGAGACGGGGGCCTATCTGATTGACAGGGACCCCACCTACTTTGGCCCTATCCTCAACTACCTCCGCCACGGGAAACTCATCATTACGAAGGAGTTGGCAGAAGAAGGTAAGAACGTTTGAACCGGCCATTTCTACAATTCAGGCCGAGTCTGTTTCACAGCTTTGACTTTTGTTTGAGACTTGCATTGCGCTCACGTGCAGGTATAATAAAGGCTTATGAGAGTGAGCAGGGAGCCTCCGTTACTTAGCGGCGTCTGAGCGAATCTTACTTAAGGAAGCCTCGTCACGTTCTGCTCATCCCCCTTAATGAGAAGGGGAAGAGGTAGCTCAGCGTTGCCAACAGCTTTGGGAGCTTTTCCCAAACCTGCAGAACGTTCAGGATCCCTTTTTACGTCTCCTTGTATGCTAGCAGTGAATGTCGGTAGCCTGAAGCAACACATCTCTGATACCTAGTTATTTATATTTTTAATTTTAGTTTGAGCTTGCAGCTGTAAAGAATAAGAAAGGCCTGGCCTCATTTCTTTCTCGTGCCTCCTCGTCAGTTTTTGCAGCTGACCTAATTCATTCTCCCATCCATTGTCAGGTTCATCACCAGTGGCCTCGTCCTTTTGTTTTTTAGGGCGTTTAGACTAAGTGGGACTATCTGTCTTTGTGAAAGGCTTGGTCTCATCGAGGACCTTCAGTCGAAGACGGGGGCCTGTCCCTGAGCCCAGGGCACCCTGATCGGGAATGTTCGCTGAGTAAGGAAACCGTAATGGCTGTGCTGGTTAATTAAGCAGCTGCAAAACACCTCTGTTCTCCCAGGGAAAAGAGAGCGTGCTCTCTCTTTGTGAACGCCCTCTATACAAAACAGAAATGCATTTCCGTGCACACAGAAGTAACGGGCATGGCCCAGCAAATTCCATGCACCCACCATCCGGCTCCCACAATTGCCAACTCGGGTAATCTTGTTTCTTGAAAAGAGGACTCTTACTGCAGTTCTTTCCTAATGCCTTTTCAAAAACTTTTATTTTGAAACAATTTCAAACTAGGAGAAAAGGGCAAGAATGGTACCAAGAACTCCCTTTACCCAGACTCACCAACTTTTAACATTTTTTTTTTATCATGTTTGCATTATCATTCATTCATTCTCTCTCCTCCACCCCTCCCACAAGTTTATTTCTGAACTATTTGAGAATAGATTCTAGACTTCTCCCCTTAATACTTCAATGGATATTTCCTAAGAACAAATCTGTTCTCTTACATAACCTCAGTATAGTGATCAGATTGAAGGAATTTAATACTGAGGAATACTTTTATCTATAGCTTATTTTCCAATTATGTCTACTATTCCAATAATGGCCTTTATACGAAATTTTTTTCCTGGTACAGGATCACATATCCCATATAGCTGTCCTGTCTGAAGTCTTTGATTTTATGTGGCATGGGATTCTTCCCATTATTGCCTTTTATATTGTTCCAACAATAAGCATTCTGTTAAATTTGGTCCACATATACTTATATACACAACCCACCCCCGGTCTTGTTTAGGACAAACTGCAAGCTCAGGTACAAACTGCAAGCTTAGGAGCTGTCTGATGCGACCAGTTCCAGGAACTAAGTGGTAGATGGCCAAGGTGTCCTGCAGCTAACGGCAGGCACGGGAGAGTCAGGGAAGGCCAGTCGGAAACTAAAGGTGAAGGAGCAGACAGGCCAGACCCTTCTGCTTGACTCCCTTCCGTTGGGCAAAGGGGATGGGTGCACCCTAAACAGCCAAGAAGCCTCTCCCAGGCTGAGGGAGAGGCTAGACTGGCATCTGAAAACTGCAGCTCTGGGCAAACACAAACGCCAGCCTTTCCCGCCTCAGGGAGCCCACACCTCTGACTGCAGTTTGGTCCTGTTCCAGGTGTGCTGGAGGAGGCAGAGTTCTACAACATCGCGTCTCTTGTGCGGCTGGTGAAGGAAAGGATACGGGACAATGAGAACAGAACTTCCCAAGTAATGGATTTTGAATTTTTAAGGGGAAACTACCTCAAGTGTCTGTCTGTCCGTGTGTCTGGGTGTAGTTAGGAAAGGGAGACTTGCCCTCGGTGCCTGAGGTCTGTGTGGCAGGCTGTCCATCTGCCAGGCAGGCAACATGTACCCCACCAGACTGTTCAGAACAAAGAAGACAGAGGAGAGGAAATAACAAAGAAAACTCATGTCCCTCTAGAGGAATGGGGGGGCAGCTACTCACCATCTGGCAGTGGGAGGGCCCAGACCTGCTCTCGCGGGGAGAGCATCTGTCTTCCTCCCGTAAAGGCCAGGCAAGGTCCTGCCTGCACCTGCGGGCTGCTCTTCATCAGGACCAGCCCTCACTGTGTGACCACCGCACATCGGCTCCTGCAGCCGCCTGAAACCAGTCTCCTGATGTGGACTTCAGAAGCTGCTTGTCCTACTGTGCTCCCGAGAACATAATATCAAGCTTCTCATTTTATTATGAAGCCTAGATTTTGGCATGAACTCAGTAGATAACAGTAACAAAAATGAAACACACTTTCCCACCTCGTTTGGGAAGGGAAGACATAGAGCAATGGTCGGCAAACCCATTAGTCCACAGAGCCAAATGTCAACAGTACAACAACTGAAATTTCTTTTGAGAGCCAAAAACCAACTTCTGCACATGGGCACGAAGTTTCAATCGCACTGTACATGCGCGCTCGCTAGTGGTATTCTGTGGAAGAGCCACACTCAACGGACCAAAGAGCCGCATGTGGCCCTCGAGCCAAAGTTTGCTGACCACTGACATAGAGCATACTTGGCTTATTTTATGTCATCCATCATGTGTCTTAAGAGGCCACAGTAGCTTCTGTTAGGCCCTTGGGACTCTGACCACGAAGTCCCATGCCCTCAAGAAGCTTGAAGTCAAGCAGGAAAAACAGACACCCCCTTTCACGTGTGTAGGCTCTACTTTAAGTACAAGTGCAGTACCAGGCAGGTCAGACTTCGCCGTGACTGTCTGTCCTGTGGCGTGACGTGCCTCCTACCCCATCAGATCCCGGTGGCGGAGGCCTTCTTGAGAGCTAATCTGTTGCAACATAGAAATTTTATTGATTTTGTACAGAGAAGAAGGGAGAGAGATAGAGAGATAGAAATATCGATGAGAGAGAGTCATCGATCAGCTGCCTCTTGCACACCCCTTACTGGGGATATGCCCGCAACTAGGGTACATGCCCTTGACCGGAATCGAACCCGGGACCCTTCAGTCCCCAAGCCGACGCTCTGTCCATTGAGCCAAACCAATCTTGGCAGGGCAGTACATTTCTTTCCACAGTAGTTCCCTGCTCCTCTGATGTTTGACTTGACAGATCCGTTTTCTGGCTCTACATGGATTATCTGAATGGAATAACTGACACCTGAGATAAAAATTGAACTTTCTCTCCAGCATTTTGCAGAGGTGGAAAGAAGGGCGCATTCATTTGGTTTCCATCCAGCTGAGGGCTGAAAGGCTGCTTTCATATCAAAGATGAATTTCCAGTTGGTTTGCAGATTACCAGTGAAATAGGATCTGGTGCCACCAAGCTTTTTGCACACCTCTTATCATATTTACAGGGCGCCTTTCCCTGGTGTAGAGATTTAAGGGCTTAGATGTTCTGAAAGTTCTAACTCTCTCACCACGGTTCTGGTGACCGGTCATTAGCATATGAAAGGCGTTTATCACTCAGGAGATTCCCAGGGCTCATTTTTTATTATTCCACGGTCTGCAGCAGAATGTCACGTCTCCCACTGTGACACTTTCCCTGTCCGCTAGCATGGCAGAGGGTAAAGGTAGCTGGGACATGTGTATGTGATGGGTTCCTAGTTCATGTTATTCCCATAAGAAGGTGTCACTGCCAATAAACCAAAACATAATCTACATTTTCCACATGTATGTTAGACATGAGTATGTGGCTTTCTTGTCTAAAGTAAGTTTGCTCTATTTTCTGTTTAGGAAAACAGAGGGAATCTAAGAATATAATTCATCCCTCCACACTTGAGAATAATTTTCCCCACTGACTCATCTCCCTGGCCCCTTGTGTGTGTTGAAGTTTTTATTGTAAAAGGGGACAGGTTGGCTGCCAAGAAAACATTCCAAGCAAATCCTTCTCAGCGTTTGTTCTTTTAGCCTCACTGTCCGTGGTTGTCGCAGGGCCCCGTGAAGCACGTGTACCGAGTCCTGCAGTGCCAGGAGGAGGAGCTGACGCAGATGGTCTCCACCATGTCTGACGGCTGGAAATTCGAACAGGTATGTTTCCTAAGTGATACAACCCCAGTGTCTCCCCGGGCGAACACCCTCCAAACACGGAGCTCCGCAGCCAGGTAGGAGAGAGAAACATCCATGTGAGAGTGCAACATCGAAGGCTGCCTCACGCATGCCCACACCGGGCATGTGCCCCCAACTGGGCATCGAACCAGCAGCCCTTCGGTGCACAAGACAGTGCCCAACCAATGAGCCACACTGGCCAGGACTCTTATTTTTTTCTCCCCCCAGAGGGATTTTCTTCAGAAATGCGTGTTGACGCATCTAGAATAATTACCTAAAGAAGACTAGGATTCACCAATAGCCCTTCCTTTGCTTGCCCCAAAGTCAGAACTTTATCATTCTCGTTGTATGTGTCATGGGCAGAGAGAGCATGGTGAGCTGCAGTGATAGGAGAGGAAGGAATCAAACTGATGGTTACCATCCGCGGCTGTGGATTCTGTTCTTGTAGCTTTGTGCCATTAGATGGCAGAATTGTCCTGTTCATCCACTTTCTTCAAAGCCTGGGGGCTGAGCATGAACAGAATGAATATATTTTAATTTTATTTGGATCCTGCCAGTTTTTATGTAGGCCAGTTGAACTGATGGCATAACTTACCTTCTCAGAAGTTCCTTTTTGTGTCTCTGTCTTCAGAACAGATATTGGACTTTTCTTCCCACTGCAGAATCAGTTCTGCCTGTGTGTCCTTCTAGTCTTGTCAGGTGTGGGTTGCAAAATGTTGCCATACTTCCACTCCAGAAGTGTTTCCCCAATTAAAGTCTTTTTTTTTTTTTAAATATATCTTATTGATTCTGTGGCACTTGGTGGTGGAAGGCCCCGTGTGTTCAGCATGTCCTTGTTTTCTCAGCTCATCAACATCGGGTCTTCCTATAACTATGGGAACGAGGACCAGGCCGAATTCCTCTGTGTCGTCTCCAGAGAACTAAATAATTCCACCAACGGCATCGTCATAGAGCCCAGCGAGAAGGCGAAGGTACGAGCTGCTTCCCCAGCTGCATGGGACTCTTTGCTGCCCCAGGGGCCCTGTCTCGTTCCTTCCCCTCCCTTCTCAAGGCGGCTTTGCGGTTCTTTATTGGGTCTTTTGATTATTGTAATTTAAATCAAGACTTATGAGCAGTGAGAGGGGCTAGAAAACACACAGAAAAGAGCAGAGTGTTCCCAGCCTCTTTCGAATCAGTGAGAAAGGTTAGCCCTCTGATCCCCAAGGTCGGCATTCTGAACTCAGCATTAGTGTGCGAAGTCCCATATGTCACCATTATTCTTTGAAACTGTCCTTTTCCTGCCTCAAGAAGAATTAGGTTACCTTTGTGGCTTAAGTTACTGGAAAAGTGTTGTACACAGTTGCCTTTTCCCTCCAGTGGGGCCCCCCTGAAACCACTTGGAAGTCCCCACATGTGTCCCGACCCGTTCCCTGGAGCAGCGGTCACTAGTCTCCAACCAGAGTGCTGGGGGGGCCCCTCCGTCCTGCCTCGCTTCCCGGGCAGCGGATTGGGTGCTGCTCGCCGGGGCCAGTGGGAAGCGGTGGGCCTCCTTGCTTTCTGCAGTCTGCTTAGCAGCTGGGCCTAAAGCACTCTGCACCCGGAGTCCACGCCTCAGCCCCCTCCCACCTTCCTCTTCCAGATTCTTCAGGAGAGAGGGTCTCGGATGTAAACGCCAGAATCCTGGACATGGAGAGCGCCCGGCAGAGCCTCTGGAAGTTAGACTCGCTCCTGTGCAGTGACAGCTCCTGGAAGCAGCGCTGAGCCTGCCCGCGTGGGGAGTTCTGGTCAGAGCAAAGGAGCCGCACCCCACCCACAGGAACCTGAAGACAGACGTGACTTCCGGCTGCAGATACCTTTTCAGAAACCTGCTTTGTGTCCTAGCCAGCGCTATAACACACCTGTGCAACCGCGTCCGGGCTGGGTTCCCAGTGGGGCTGGGCCGGGGAGGGAGAGGAAGAGGAAGGCTGCTCCCAGCGGGCTGTGCTGCAGGAAGGGGAGCAGAGAGGACAGCCCTGAGCTGTGCCCGGCCTTCACCGGAGTGTGGCGCGGTGGCCCTGGCACCAGCCGCTCTGTAACCATCTTCCCTCCCCTCTATGCACCGCACACTAACGTAGCAGACGCAGAGGAGTCTAGCTCCCATTTGTCGAACTGAACTGAGGGTTTTGGTAAAGGACAGAGTGCCCCACATTCCTATGAACTAAGCCTCTCTGAGGAAAGGAGGATGGGGAGTGCTGCTCGTTTGGGGCGATCGGCTGCTGCCACGTCCAGCTTCGCCCTGCCTGTCTCTGGAAGCCCGGGCCGGCCGGGCGGCTGGCCTTCTCGCCAGGAAGAGGGTGGAGGCAGGCGGCATTCTGCACCGGGTGAGACGGACAGATGGGAGCTGTAGGTAGTCGGTGTAACTGCTTCCTCGGCCTTCTCTTACCCTCCCTCGGTCCCTCTTCCTTCCTGACTGTTTAAACTGGGATGAAGGGACTTGGGACCCCTGGTGGCGTGGGGTGCGGATGGCTGTTTCTTTAAGAGTTGCCAAATGCGACCTGTTCTGGTGTCCAAAGTTTTATTTCTGTGATTGTCTCCTGGAAATGCCTTGACTAACATGTACTATTTGTCTGTGTGTCTTGGTCGCTCACTCTGGCAGCCCTGCCCCGCAGCCTTGTCGGTGACCCCCCACTCCCCCCCATACCCGCTGGAGGGTGGGTATGCGTTTGCGGGGCAGCCTGAGGACTCCCTCCCTCACCCGCCCGGACACATGTGGGGACTATCACTTCCTTCTGGGGAGCGCCCTGCCCTGGAGGACCAGACGCTGTCTGCCCCGGGGAGCTGAGCTGTGGCCACAGCTTGTACCGACCTCCTCAGCGTTGAGTCTCAGAGCAGCCGTGACTGCCCGGGGCCGGAAGCCTTGTGTTCCCTGATGCCCTGAGCGTGCCAGGTGGGCCTAGACGGGGAGGGGGCCTCGGCAACACCCATCTGTGAGCCACCGCCGGCCAGAGCTGCTGGTTTCTCCAAAGCTGAGGCCCCCGCTGCTCCGCAGCTCAGCTGCTTGCTGGGGGCCCGCGGTATAATTTTTGGATGTGGCTGTAGACTGTGCCAAACGTCTCTTGAGCTTGTGACCTGCGCATGCCCAGGATTCTCTCTCTGACCTTATTTCCCTGTGTGAAGTAGGATAGACGTGTGTCTGCTGCCAGACGGCTGCACGCCAGCCCGAGGTGCACATTGGCACCTCAGAAGTCTGGCCGGCGCCCAGGGTTTTTACGGCTGTGACGTCGAACTTCTGCCTTCAGTAAAGGCCGTCACCTTCCAGAAAGGGTGTAGGCATCCATCCTGTCATCTGCTGGGGGGAGAGGGGGGTAAATATGTCGGGGAAAAGCCGCTCTGACAGGACAGGACTGGAGGGGTCTCTGCACAACTGGAATGAGGAGCCTCAAATGAAAGGAGGGCGGGACGCGCCCAGTGAGACGTGCTTTCCTGGGCACTGGGCGCCCCGGTGACCAGCCTGGTCCCGGCCACAGGGGAGGCGGCGGAGGCGGGCACGGCCAGCCCCTGGGATGCCTCTCGCAGAAACCCGCCGCGGCCTGTGACGGCTGCCGAGCCGCTCAGCCCTCCGAGCAGCAGCCTGAGTGACGCTCTTGTCTCCTTGAGGCTGGCTTTCCCCAGCTCCCCTCCTGGCAGCCCGGTGACCCTTTCAGTGGCTCCATCGCTCCGGAAGTCTCAGATCATTTGTCTCTTAAGGTTTCTGGGAAAATATATCACCCAAACCCTTCATGAGCCAAGTGGGTGTTTTTTTTAAAAAGCCTTCTCCCCCCCGGCAGAGTCTGGCTGATCAGAGGGTTCTGGCCACATGACCAGTGACCCATCCTCCAGCTTCCCGGCGCTGCCATGGGGAGTGTCTTCCTGCTGCTTCTCTGCCCAGGTCTGTGGCCACAGGCCGTGCAGGCCAGGCCCAGGAGCAGCCGGTATCTGAGCGGCAGACAGCAGTGGGCTTGCCATGTCCTCAGAGCTGCTCTTTGCCCTTGGCAGTGGGGGGGGGGGGCAGCCCCTCTAGGATGACTGCGTCCCTGCGGTTGTAGCTGATCTCAGGGTGTCGGGAGGAAGGGGCGGCTGCTGAGGGGCAGGGCTGAGAGGACACCCACACCCTGCAGCGCGGCCTTCGGTCCTGACATCAGGGAGCAGGCCCCCACCTGTGGGTGCCCTTTGTGGAGTGCTGGGAGAGTGAAATGCTGTGGCCTTGTCCTTTTTCCTTTTGGTCAATAAACACGTGACACGAACTGCTGAACCTGAGACCGTTGGTGTGTGTTTCCCAATATCGGCAGCTCCTGTGTCCACTCACCATCCACGCTCCTCCTGCCCTCTCGGAGGTGGGCTTCGCCTCTGCCAGCAGCGCCTCCCACAAAGGCCCGATCTCCTGCTGCCAAGACTGCCCGGCGGTGCTGGGCCTCCCTCCGCCCCTTCCATTTCCCTAAATCTGAGAGCGCTCGGTGCTGAGGACCAGAAGGTGGGACAGATGGGCACCCACAGAGCTGGAAAGAGATGGGGGAGGAGTGAGATGTTTTGTAGTTTTTATTTCAGAGAGAAGGGAGAGAGAGAGAGAGAAATCAATAAACATTGACCAGCTGTCTCCTGCACACCCCCTACTGGGGATGGAACGTGCACCCATGTGCCCTGACTGACATTGAACTGTGATCTCTTGGTTCATGGGGATGACGCCCAACCCAGTGAGCCACACGGGCCGGGGGAAAACAGTCCTCCTGGGAGAGGGTAAGTGACCAGTAGCCCGTTTCTTCTGCAAGGTAGAGAGGGTAAGAAACGAGAGGACCCATCACTTCCGGCACCAGGCAGCGGGTGGGATCCTCAAAAGGCCTTTGTCTCCCCCCTCCGCCCCCCTCTCCCCCATAGGAGACAACTGTGCACAGAGGTCAGGAACCAGGTACAAGGTGGTGTCAGCAGGATCCAGTGAGCGGGAGACCCAGTGGTTAGCAGGCTGTGGGGAAAGGAAAGGGCCTGGGGGCACACATGTCGCAGGTGGAGTGATTACAAGACGCTCCGGGCCCCAGGAGCAGAGGGAGAAGTCGGGGTTGTGAAAAGGGGGAAGCCGCCGTCCCGGGGCTCAGGAAAGCTGGGCTCATGGTTAGAGGCACAAAGGTAAGGTGCCCGGACGGCCTGCTTTCGGCGGGACAGTCCCTACTTTTAACCATTTGTCCCGCGTCCCTCGGCGTTTTAAAAAAGTCGGGACTGGTCACCTTACACAGAGGACCCTGCTGGGAGCTGCTCCCCTGCCCAGCTGCCCGAGAGAAGCTGCAGTGCTGTGGCTGCTCAGCTGGTTGGAGCACCATCCCAGACACCAAAAGGTGGAGGGTCCGAGCACACACCTACGTTGTGGGTTCGATCCCT